TATGGGTCTGCTGTGTATCTCACTTCCCATGTTGGATCATTCTCTTCCTTTTTGATTCTATCAGCTAGTATTTGCAGACACTAGTCTTGTTTATGTGAACCCTTTGGTTCTTAGTCCTATCATTACGATCAATTGTGAACAGAAATTGATCACTGGGACTAGTGAGATGGCATTGGTACATGCCACCTTGATGGGATTGAATTGGAATCCTCTGGTATGTTTCTAACTCTACCATTTGGGGCAAGTCAGCTTGAGCATGTCCCGAATTGCACATCTCTTCCCTCTGTTATTCCCACTCTTATATTTAACAGTGATCACTTTTCAGTTAAGTTTCAGCACTTAAGAAGAATTGTGTATTGATTACAGTATTCAACCAAAAGTATTAAGTAGAACAAACAAAAAAAATTTCAAGAGGGATAACATATTAAGCTGCTCATCAACAGTCAGGGTGAGGGCTGATCAAGTCACCGTTTCTCCTAGTGTTCATTTCACTTTAACAGGTTTCCTTTTTGGTGCTCAGTTAGTTCTCACCTATCAAGGAGAACAAGTGGTATTTGTCCCTTTGGGATTGGCTTATTTCACTCAGCATAATGTTTTCCAAATTCCTAACAGGGATCACTTTTCAGTTAAAATTTAAACACCTAAGAATAATTGTGTGTTAATTACAGAGTTCAACCAATAGTATTAAGTAGAACAAAAAAATACTAAAAGGGATACAGTATTAAATTGTACATCAACTGTCGGGACAAGGGCTGATCAAGTCACTGTTTCTCATAGGGTCCATTTCACTTCAACAAGTTTCCCCTTTGGCGCTCATTTAGTTGTCGCCGATCAGGGAGAACATATGATTTTTGTCCCTTTGGGACTGGCTCAATTCACTCAGCATGATGTTTTCCAAATTCCTCCATCTTGTTGCAAATGACCGGGTTTCATTGTTTTTGACTGCTGTATAGTATTCTATAGAGTACATGTCCCATAATTTCTTTATCCAGTCTACTCTTGATGGGCATTTGGGTTGGTTCCAGGTCCTATCTATTGTGAATTGAGCTGCAATAAACATTAAGGTGCAGACAGCTTGTTTGTTTGCCAATTTCATTTCCTTTGGGTAAATTCCAAGGAGTGGGATGGCTGGGTTGAATGGTAGGGTTATCTTCAGGTTTCTGAGGAATCATCAAACTGACTTCCATAGTGGCTTAACCAGTTTGCATTCCCATCAACAGTGGGTTAGTGTCCCTTTTTCTCCACATCCTCTCCAGCATCTGTTGATGGTAGAGTTTCTGAATGTGAGCCATTCTAACTGGGGTGAGGTGAAACCTCATTGTGGTTTTGATTTACATTTCCCTGATTGCTAGTGATCTTGAACATTTTTTCATGTGTCTGTTGGCCCTTTGGATTTCCTCTTTTGAAAAATGTCTATTGAGGTCCTTGGCCCATCTCTTAAGTGGGTTGTTTTGATCTTGTGGAGTTTCTTGATTTCTTTGTAGATTCTGGTTATCAACCCTTTATCAGTTGCATAGTTTGCAAATATTTTTTCCCATTCTGTTGGTTGTCTCTTCACTTTCCTGACTGTTTCTTTTGCAGTACAGAAACTTCTCAATTTGATGCAATCCCAAATGTTAATTTTGGCTTTGACTGCCTGTGTTTCTGGGGTGTTTTCCAAGAAGTCATTGCCGGTACCTATATCTTGCAGGGTTTTTCCAATGCTCTCTAATAATTTGATGGTGTCAGGTCGTAGAACAGAAATTGATCACTTGGACTAGTGAGATGGCATTGGTACATGCCACCTTGATGGGGCCATTCTTTAGAAAGAAATGGCTAGAAAAGCCTTCTCTAAACCTTTTTTAGTTAATAAGTTAGATATTACTTTCTATAATGCTTAAAGATTTATTTATTTATTTATTTGAAAAGCACAGTAACAGAGAGGCAGAGGCAGAGAGAGAGAGATGTCTTCCATCTGTTTGTTCACTCTCCAAATGGCCACTATGGCCAGAGCTGAGCCAATCAGAAGCCAGGAACCAAGACCTTCTTCCAGGTTTCCCACACAGGCACAGAGGCCCACGAACTTGGGCCATCTTCTACTGCTTTCCTAGGCCATCGCAGAGACCTGGATCGGAAGTGGAGCAGCCAGGAATCAAACTGGCATGCATTATAGGATGCTGGCACTGCAGGCGGCAGCTTCACTTGCTATGCTACAGTGCTGGCCCCACCTTCTATAATTTCAATAATAAAAAATATACAGTAATCTTCAAAGTGTTTATGGAAAATGTGTTTTATGTAAAAACTATGCAAGAACTTGAACAAATTTTCGTGCCAAAAGAAACATCTTTCTTTTCTTTTTTAAAGATTTATTTATTTAGTTGAGAGACAGAGTTTGAGAGAGGGAGAGACAGAGAGATCTTCCATCAGGTGGTTCACTCTCAAATGGCTTCAATGGCCAGAGCTGGACCAAACCTAAGCCAGAAGCCAGGAGCTTCTTGGGGGTCTCCCATGTGAGTTTAGGGGCCCCCACACTGTGGCCGTCTTCTACTGCTTTCCAACCCATCAGCACAGAGCTGGAACCCGTGCCTATATGGGATGCTGGTGCCACAGGTTGATGCTTAATCCACTGCACCACAGCAAAGACCCCAAAATAAACATCATTTAATTGCATTTCTCTACAAACCTTTTGAAGTCCCCTTGTACACTAAGAAACTTAAAATAAATGGTAATGGAAATATTGAACTTGATTTGTTAATGCTTTCAGACCATGATTATTATTTACTCTGGGCTTATTTTAATTTACGTTATGGAGCAATGAACTTTAGATAAATATTGCTCATTCTAAACCAACACAACTACATTACTTGAAAAGTCTTTCAAAATTATTTTCACATAAACAATGATAGTTATAAGGCATTTGGACAAGTCTATGACTGATTCAAAATACTTTCCTAAATCTAAGTATCACTTAAGGCCGCTATTAATCCTCTTAGCTATATAGGCCTTTGAGGAAATATTTTGCTTTCTCCAGAGCATGGTTAATACAAAAAGAACAGCTATTGAATGTGTAGTTAAGAGGATGGAGAAGAGAGCTGGTGTTAGAGAGAAAATGTAATTGAAATGTAAGTAATTGAAGCATAACAAAAATCACTGAGAAAGGCTGTATCAGTCCAGTGAAGAATTCAGTCTAACCTTCAATTGCTTCCTATAATTTCTGTATATAAGCCTTCACTCACTCACTCACAGGAAACATTTGTGATGTCAGAATTACAACATGGGGTTACAACGCTGTGACATTTTCGAGCTCTTCAAGGTTTGTCAAGCACAGTAATTATATTTACTAGAATTCTCTCACCTCTCATACTCATACACTTTAATCACACCCACAGTGGAAACCCATAAAGTGTGCAGCACTAGCATTAAGCGAATGTGTCTAAATGTTACTGTTAGGGACACTCAGATACATCTAGGATCTTGTAAAAAGGATAATCAAAACACATTTTTTGATAGCTAGAGATTTATCTCTAGTGGTTTGTTTTAAAGCTAGCATGAAAAATGTAACAGGGTTTTCTACAATTGCTACTGCTCAGAAAAGTCTACTTGAAGGTTCTCCTCAGTTAAGCATCTCCTGGTTGAATTCTGAAAATTATATACACTAGCCATAATATTCATCATAATAAACCATTTTATTTTTTGAAATATTATATGTTTTCTGTAGCTGCACTTATCAAAATTATTGCTCTATATTGAGATTAATTATAATAAACAATTACAAATATTTTCAAGTGAAATTTCTGAGCTCCCAATGTAAAATGTATTGATGAGAAATATTTTGAACTAGTGTTTCTATAATTTTGGGGGCAGTTTAGAGAAAAGCAGTAAGTAATAAACTTTGGAGGCTGGTGTTGTGACATATTGTTTAAAATCGTGTCAGAGACTCCATCATCCCAATTGGGTACTGGTTTGTATCCTGGCTGTTCCACATGTAATTCAGCTCTCTGCTAATGGCCTAGGATAAGCAGCAGACGACGTTCCAAATACTTAGACCCCAGCCACATAAGCCATAGACCTGGAGAAGCTCCTGGCTCCTGGCCCAGCCCTGATCAATAAGGCTATCTATTGAGTGAAGCAGTGGATGGAATATCTCACTCTCTGTCTCCCCCTCTCTAACTCAGACTTGCAAATAAATAAATAAAATTTTGAAAATAAAAAATAAACCTTTTTAGTTATGCCATTAATAATAACAGAATGTGCTTGTAATTGTGTGTGTATCAGGAACATAAAAATTTGGAGTCTCCAAATCCATACAATACAAAATGACTAAATGAAAACTCAGATACTGATATATTTATAAATTTTCTTATGATTGTTGTCACGAATAGCTTACATTATATACATATAGTTGCATTATATTCAAAGATATACTATAGTCACATACAAAATACACATAAAGATAATTTAATTAAAGTATTAGGCAAATATTCTTAAATATTGAATTAATTGTATATTTTATATCAATTAAAATAAATATAACAAGTCATTAATATTTAATTTTAATTTTAATATGTTAATAATGTATTTTAACTTTTTCTTCCCTGTGAAGAATACTGTTAAGAGAATGAAAAGAAACCACAGACAGGTAGAAACTATTTGCAAAATACGTATGTGATAAAGATCTGCATCTGAAATACACAAACAACACTTAAAAATCAACACTATAATAAAAAAATTCCAATGAATAATGAGCAAAGTATCTGAACAAACACTTTACCAATAAACATATCTTGAAGTTTGAAACAATTATGTGCAAAGATGTAATCATTGGTTATAAGCAAAGTACAACATAAAACAACAAATAGATACAACTATACACTCAAAAGAATGTCTGGAATAAACTTTAAAAAATGACAATGCCAAGAACCATAGGCACTCTCATTTGTTGACAGATGGATTACAAAGTTTTGCAACTACTTTGGAAGATACAGTGGCACTCTGTTATGAAATTTAAACTTGCTTCTTACCATTCAATCCAAAACTGATGCCTCTTGGTATTTACTCAACTTATTTGAACACATGTCCACACAAAACCTGTACGTAAATATTCATGGAAGTGTTATTTATATGACAAAAGCTGGAACCAAGTAAGATGGCCTTCAAAGTTAGAGGAATAAATAAAGAGTAAAAGGCCAACACTGGCACTGCAGGTTACTCTACTGCTTGAGACACTCACACCCCATATCACAATATCTGGTTCAAGTTTTAACTATTCTGTGCTTCCTATCCATCTTACTGCAAATGTTCCTAGATGGCAGCAGATGACCCAAGTACTTGGGTGCCTGTCATCCCCGTGGGAGAGTTAAATTGAGTTCCAGTCTCCTGGTTTTGCCCTGGCCTAACCCTGAATATTGTGGGCATTTGGAGAGTTAACCAGAATATGTAAGATATCTATGTCTCCCCCAACAGGGTCACTTTACTCTTCAAGTAAATAAAGAAAAGCAACTTTAAAAAAAAAGGAAAACTCTGGTACAATTAAATATAATTCAGTGATAAAAAGAAATAAATTTTCATGCCACAAAAAAGGCGTGAATGAATAAATCTTAAATGCATGTCTCTATGTGATTAAATCTAAGTTATTCACATATCCAGGTAAAGGGTGTCTACTACGTGGTTTAATTTTTGGGATATTTCTGTGAAAGTCAAAATGATAGAGGCACCCAGTAGGTAGCTTCCTGGGATTCCTGGTGGAGGTTGATGTATTAGTCAGCTCTCTACTACTTTAACTAAAATACCTGAGAGAAATGTCTTAGGAAGGAAAATTTACTTATATTGAGAATTTTCAGTCCAAAATATGGCAGTCCTACTTATCAGGCATCTGGTAGGGGTGGGAAGAGTAGTTGGAGGTTGTTGGACCACGATGTGGAACAGGAAGCAAAGAGACAAAGGAGGCACACTCTTCATCTTTCCTCTGTGTGGTCTCTTCTCACAATGATGTCATAGTTGGATTACAGACTCCACCCTAACAACCTAACACAAACCACTTATCAGAAGTCCCAACTTCTGAAACCATAACTGAGTCAGGCCTCCATCCTGATCCATCAAGCATTAACTCATTCATCATGAACATAAAATGCTTTTAAAAATCAGATTTACAGGATATAATATTCTGGGCTGGCAGTTTTTCTCTCTTAGTACCTGGGCTATATCTTGCCATTCCCTCCTAGCTTGTAGGGTTTCTGATGAGAAGTCAGCTGTGAGTCTGATTAGAGATTCTCTGAGAGTAATCTGACGTTTCTCTCTTGCACATTTTAGGATCTTTTCTTTATGTTTCACTGTGGAGAGTTTAATTACAATGTGTCGTGGTGAGGATCTCTTTTGGTCGTGTTTATTAGGGGTTCTATGAGCTTCCTGTACTAGGATTTCTCTGTCCTTCTCCAAACCTGGGAAATCTTCTGCTAATATCTCACTAAAAAGGCCTTCTAATCCTTTCTCTCTCTCCATGCCTTCAGGAACTCCTAGAACCCGAATGTTGGGTTAGTTAATAGTATCCTGAAGATTCCCGACAATATGTTTTAGATTTCTAATTTCCTCTTCTTTTCTTTGGTCTGACTGTATCCTTTCCTGTTCTCTGTCTTCTAAGTCCAATATTCTCTCTTCTGCTTCACCCATTCTGTTTTTAAGGCTCTCTAGTGTGCTTTTCATTTCCTCTATTGAATTCTTCACTTCATTATGATTTCTCGTCACTATCACAGTTTCCTGTTGTACTAGTTGTTTCATTTCATTTTGATTCCTCCTTAATATTTCATTTTCACGAGAGAGATTTTCTATCTTGTCCTTCAAAGATTTCTGTAGTTCAAGAATTTGTTCTTGAGAACTTCTTAATGTTCTTATCAATTTTTTTGAGATCTGTATCTTGTATTTCTTCCCTCTCATCATCTTCATAATCTTGAATTGGGGTGTCTTTTTCATTTGGGGGCGTCACAGTGACTTCCTTGTTTTTATTACCTCGGTTTTTGCATTTGTTCTTTGGCATATTGGAAATATTTGGTTTCTTCACTGTGGTGCTTTTTCTTGTTGTACTATGACTCTAGATTAAGTGGACTGTCTGTTTTTGATGGAGCCTTAGAGGCTTGAGATGGGTGTGGCCTGAGAGCTCTGTTTGGTGTGCCGAAGGTGACACTCCCAGGTTAGGTGTGGTAGATCTCTCTCTCTCTCTCTCTCTTTCTTTCTTTCTTTTTTTTTTTTTTATTCAAACGGGAAGTAATTCCACACAGCTGAACGAAGTTGGAGGTAGTTAGCAGGCAAATGATATACCCACAGGAGCCAGAGATCAGAAGCTCTTTCCCAAGGACCCCACAGGGAATCTGTTCTGCCTTCAGAGTGGGCTCAAATTCTCCTTCAGTCTCCCACTGGGTTGCCAAAGTTACGGAATTGTAGCGTCTCTGGAGAGTACTCACGTGAATTCCGTGAGTTCTCTCCCCACCGTCTCTTTTTTCACAGTCTCATTTCAGTAGCACCACAAATTCACTAGGTCCTAATCTCCTGTTAATTTACCCCGCCCAGAGTCAGATTTTTCTGCTAGGCTCAGGGCTGGTGCAGACCTGAGGTTGCTCTGCTTCTCTTTAACTCTGCCTTTCAAATAAATAAATAAATAATTTTTAAAAATAAGATTAAAGAACAGAAGAGTTCAAAAGAATATTATAAAATTATTTCCTGGGGCCGGTGCCGTGGCTCACTTGATTGATTCTCCACCCGCGGCACCGGCATCCGATATGGGCACCGGGTTCTTGTCCTGGTTGCTCCTCTTCCAGTCCAGCTCTCTGCTGTGGCCCAGGAGGACAGTGGAGGATGGCCCAAGTGCTTGGGCCTCTGAACCAGCATGGGAGACCAGGAGAAGCACCCGGCTCCTGGCTTCAGATTGGCGCAGCTCCGGCCATGGTGGCCATTTGAGGAGTGAATCAGTGGAAGGAAGACCTTTCTCTCTGTCTCTCTGTCTCTTTTTCTCTCTCTCTCTCACTGTCTGTAACTCTACCTGTCAAATAAATAAAAACAAAAATAAAGAAAAAGTAAAAATAAAATTATTTCCCAAGGGGGTATAGATGAACAATTCTGAAAGCAGTAAGCATTATGCTAGAATAGAAAGAAGAAATAAATGGACGTAAGATGATGAGAGTCAGGTTTCTCCCAGTTTGGGAAGCTCTAGACAAGTAAGATGAGAAAGTAAGAATGATATATGTGTTAACAAATTAATAGTGGAGATGATATGAATTTCTGCTTAACTTAAATAGAAAGTTAGAAATGTAACAAGACTTAAAAAGTTAATGGAAAGAGTACTTTAAAAGTAACTTTACAGAGGAGAAATGACACACTCTCCTTAGCCTGGTGACCAAAGTTAATATGAATAGGAAGAAAATGTATTGTTTACAATGTTTAGCATTTTATTTTTTACTAGTTTATTTCAAAACAACTTGAAGTTTATAAAATAAAAATTATGAGGTGGTAACCAGAGATTCCATATACACTTTTTCCAATTTCCATATTAATATCTCATATTTGTGCATGTGATATTAATTAATTAATATCCATTTTTGGATTCAATCCTATTGATTTCTTTTCTGATTTTAATTATTTCTCTTCTCCTACTAGATTTGGGTCTGGTTTGCTGCAGTTTTTCTAGATCTTTGAGATGCATTGAAAGCTCATTTATTTGTTGCCTTTCCAATTTCTTGATGTAGGCACCTATTGCTATAAACTTTCTTAACACTGCTTTTGCTGTATCCCATAAGTTTTAGTATGTTGTGTTGTTATCCTCACTGACTTCCAGAAAGTTTTTGATATCTCTTTTGATTTCTTCTATGACCCAGTGTTCATTCAGGAGCATGTTGTTCAGTCTCCATGTGTTTGCATATGCTCTAGGGATTCCTGATTTGCTAATGTACAACTTTGTTCCTCTGTGGTCTGAGAAGCTGTATCGTATGATTCTAATTCTTTTGAATTTGCTGAGACTTGCTTTGTGGCCTAGTATGTGGTCAGTCTTAGAGAAGGTTCCATGTACTGCTAAGAAGAATGAAAATTCTTTATGTGTAGGATGAAAAGTTCTGTAGATATCTGTTAGATCCATTTGGGCTATAGTGTCGTTTAAATCTACTGTATCCTTGTTGTTCTTCTGTCTGGTTGATCTATTTCTGAGAGTGGAGTATTGAAGTCCCCCAGTACTATTGTACTGGAGTCTAAGTCTCCCTTTAAGTCCCTTAACAAATATTTTAAATAACCTGGTGCCTTGTAATTAGGTGCATATACATTGATAATCACTATATCTTCCTGTTGATTTGATCCCTTAATCATTTTATAATTCCCCACTTTGTCTCTCTTAACATTCTTTGCGTTAAAGTTTATTTTGTCATATTAAGATGGCTACGCCTGCTCTTTTTTTTTTATTTCTGTTGGCATGGTATATCTTTTTCCAGCCTTTCACTTTCAGTCTGTATGCATCTTTGTTGGAAAGATGTGTTTCTTGTAAGCAACAAATAGATGGGTTTTGTTCCTTAACCTAATCAGCCAATCTGTGTCTTTTAACTGGGCAGTTGAGGCCATTAACTTTCAATGTGACTATTGATAAGTAATAACTTTGCCCTGCCATTTGCCAAAGATATTTTCTAATATATGCTTTGAACTTCCTGTGAGGTTTCCTTCCTTTACCTTCTTTCATGTTGATGACCATGTTTCTGTGTTTCTGTGTGTAACACATCTTTAAGCATCTTTTGCAGGGCTGGACAAGTGGTGACAAATTCTTTCAATTTCTGTTTGCTATGAAAGGTCTTTATTTCACCTTCATTCACAAATGAGAGCTTTGCAAGATATAATATTCTGGGCTGGCAGTTTTTCTTTCTTAGTACCTAGGCTATGTCTCGCCCTTCCCTTCTAGCCTGTAGGGTTTCTGATGAGAAGTCAGCTGTGAGTCTAATTAGAGATTCTCTGAGAGTAATCTGATGTTCCTCTCTTGCACATTTTAGGATATTTTCTTTATGTTTCACTGTGGTGAGTTTGATTACAACGTATCGTTGTGAGGATCTCTTTTTGTCATGTTTATTTGGGGTTCTATGAGCTTCCTGTACTTGGATGTCTCTGTCCTTCTCCAAACCCGGGAAGTTCACTGCTAGTATCTCACTAAAAAGGCCTTCTAATCCTTTCTCTCTCTCCATGCCTTCAGGAACTCTTAGAACATGAATGTTGGGTTTTTTAATAGTATCCTGTAGATTCCCCACAATATTTTTTAGATTTCTAATTTCCTCTTCTTTTCTTTGGTTTGACTGTATACCTTCTGTGCTCTGTCTTCTAAGTCCGATATTCTTTCTGCTTCACTGACTCTGTTTTTAAGGCTCTCTAATGTGTTTGTCATTTGATCTATTGAGTTCTTCATTTCATTTTGATTTCTCTTCACTATCACACTTTCCTGTTCTACTAGTTTCTGCGTTTCATTTTTATTCCTCCTTACATTTCATTTTCACAAGTGAGATTTTCTGTCCTGTCCAGTAAGCATTTATGTAGCTCAAGCGTTTGTTTTTGAAAACTTCTAAATGTTCTAATAAATTTTTTGAAATCTGTATCTTGCATTTCTTCCCTCTCATCATCTTCATAATCTTGGCTTAGGGTGTCTTGTTCATTCGTGGGTGTCATAATGCCTTCCTTGTTCTTGTTTCCTTGGTTTCTGAGTTTGTTGCTTGGCATTGTGGAGATATTCTTTGGATTCTTCTTCCCTTGCTGTGGTGTTTTTTTCTTGTTGTACTATGACTGTATTAAGTGGACTGTCTGCTTTTGATGGAGCCTTAGAGGCTTGAGATGGGTGTGGCCAGAGAGCTCTGTTTGGTTCTTCAGGGTTAAGGTGTGCCTAAGGTGACACCCCCAGGTTAGGCGTGGTAAATCTCTTTCTTTTTTTTTTTTTTTTTTTTTTTTTTTTTGATTCAGAAGGGAAGTAATTCTGCACAGCTGAACGGAATTGAAGGTAGTCAGCTTCTATTCTCTGGCTCCTGTGGGTATAACATTCACTTGCTCTTTTCCAAGGACCATACAGGGAATCTGTTCTGCCCTCAGTGTGGGCTCAAATTCTTCTGCAGTCTCTCATGGGGTTGCCAAGGTACCGAATTGTAGCATCTCTGGAGAGTACTCACGTGAACTCCATGAGTTCTCTCACCCACCGTCTCTTTTTTCACAGTTTCAGTTCATTAGCTCCACACATTCACTAGGTCCTAATCTCCTGTTATTTCACCCCCCGCCCCAGAGTCAGGTTTTCTGCTTGGTTGTGGGCGGGCGCAGCCCTGAGGTCACACAGCTTTTACGTATGACAAAAATGGTACCTGCTTTTTGTCTTGCTCGCCTTTGAGAGGTGAGTGGAGAGAGAAACTCGTGTTCATACTGGTCCCCCTTTTTTTTCTTCTCTCTTCTAGTTAGCCTGGTAAACTTCCCCCATGGAGCTTCAAGCCTCATTCACTCTAGGCTCCTCCTTCTGCTTTCCCGCTGGTGTCTCGGGCTATTGAAGTTCGGCTCACCTCGTGTTCCAGCGCTGGTGCGTAGATTCAACCGCTGGTGTCCCTAGCCATGGGCTCCCACACCCTCCACACAGGTCCACCATGAATCACTAGTTCCAGAAGAGTTTCCTCTGCTGTTTCTTCCCCAACTCTTCCTTGAACCTGCAGTATCTCCACTTTTATTAAACTGTCTCTTCCCAGACTCTCAGTGTGCAACCTCACTATTCCACCATCTACAACACAGTCCTGCTTTTCTCCTGTTAAGGAGTCATTAGGGCTGGGCATTTGGCATAGCATCCAATGCCACTTGAGGCACCTCATCTCTTATTGCTGTGACTGTATTTGTGTCCTGGTTCTGTTTCTCATTCCAGTTTCCTGTTAATGCACATGCTGGGAGGCAGCAGGTGATGGTTCATGTACTTGAGACTCCAGGTCTCCATCACCCACGTGGGACACCTAGATTGAGTTCTGAGCTCTTGGCTTCAGCTGTTGTAGGCTTGTAGGTATTTGCAGAGTAAATCAGTTAATAGAAGATTGTCTCACTACCTTTCAGGAAAAAAAGAAAAAGACTAGGGGGAAGTTTTACCATACTCACACATTCCCATTAGAGATAAAAACAAAAAAGACTCTAAACCTCATCAGAGTTAAAAAATCTGTGATTAACACA